CTGCTTTTACTTCGCAAATTATTTGGATTCAGAGTCAACTTCGTGACTATGCAATAAACATGAAAAAGATTCATTTGTATTGTGATTCGCAAAGTGCAATTCGCATTTGTCATAATCCAGTACAACATTCAAAGACAAAACACATTGCTCTTCGATATCATTTTATCAAAGATCATGTGGAAGATGGAAATGTTGAGATTCATTTTGTTAAAACTACTGAACAACTTGCTGATATTTTTACAAAACCTCTTGATGAAAAATAATTTGTTATAATTTTAGCAGGTTTGGGGATGATTGATGCGAATTCAATGTCAAAAACTTGAGGAGAGTCTTGTTTAGTAGTTATGAATCAAACGTGTTTAGATGTTACTGTTCATTTAGAGGATTCGCATGGCTTCGCATCTACATCTTTTCGCATTTGTGATCATAACAACTACGGTTAGGTTTATACTTTGTTTTGTAGTTTTTTTTTTTTAATTCTTGAAAAATCAAAAATCCAAAAAGAATTTATGTTTAGTCAATTTTTTTTAAAAAATTAAAAATCCAAAAAGATTTTGTTTGATTAGGTTTTTAGTTTGAAAAATTCAAAAATCACAAAAATATTTTTGTTTCTTTATTCTTTAAACATTGTGTGCTGAGAATTTTGTACAGTGTCAAATGCGAAAAAGTCATGCTTATGTGTTTCTACGGGAAGGTATTAATTTTTTTTAAAAAACTAGTTAGGATGTCCCTAGAGGCATGCTGTTGTATGTAGACCAAAAGCAAGACTCTATGTGTGCACAGAAAGCCTTAATGAAATTTTCACATGAAAATTTCTTCCCAATCAGGCTTATATTCGCATAAGTCAAAAGAGCTACCTTACTCTTCTCAAATGAGTTAAGAGTTTTCTGTTTTGTCCATTATAACAGAGGTACACTTCGATTCTTATCCAATTTTTTGAAACCAAACAATTCTTACAATCCAAATTTTTGAAGAGATTTGTCCTTGACGTCTTTGATTAAACCAATCAAAACCTAGACAAATCACAAGTCTGTGTTTATGATCTAACATCTTGAGTCCGTGATGAAAGTGAAACCCAAACATCCAAAACCTTAAGGAATTGATGGGGAACTTTGCTCCAGATTTTTACGAAACATTTGTTTCAGTATCAAAAATTTCGAAACTCCAAATCATATTCAATTTTTATGTGTGGTCTTGATCAAATATTGGTAACCAACAATATTTGTTACCCAACAAGATCCAGAACAAATTTTTCTTTTTGAATATGATTTCAGTGTGAGTTTTATTCGTAAATCTTTGTCCTGAAAAATATTTTCTAAAGCAAACTTGTCACTGACTACACTGGTCAAACAAGTAATTTCATTTACAATTTGTCGCCTTATGTTAAGGTTGATATGTAATGAAATTTGAAACCAATCCCAAATGTCTTTTAAAAAGAAGCCCTTCGATACTTCTATATAAGTATTCGATTGTAATTCACGGGAAACTACACAAGCTGTTGATTATCTCTCTTGATGATTAACGAAGCAACCTTTGCCTAGGGTTTAACTGCATTTATGTCAAATTTAATTTTTGACATCACATAATTCTAAAATTTTTTTATTTTACTTTCTCATCTTATTCTATTGACACAATGCACACATGAAATCCTTGAGGTTCTGAGTAAAACTAACTCAGACTGATGATTTCGCAAATCTGACATATGACTTCACTTTATATCCCAAAAGTGAAAGAGCCCTGCTTCCATGCGAAGGGTTTTTAACGGTTCGAAATCTATAACGGGAAACTTGACAAACTGTGTACTCAAGATGGTTGGTATTCTATCCGGTTTTCAAGGAGATGGGACAGATACTTTTTGAAGCGTGGTTATCTTTTACCGTCATGATCCGATTTTCAAGGTGCCACGTCGGATAACATTAAATGCATCCCGCTTTAATTTCAAATTAATTTGGGTAACCTATAAAAGGGGGATCAAGAACACTATATACGGTTATGCAAACAGAACTCTCACAAACGTTCAAAGTTTCAATCTTGATCAAATCTCTTTTCTTTCAAACCCTAACAATGGCAGCCACTCAATCCAACACTGATGAAGTTCTTTCTCAATCCCTGATGAAGATCCAAAGCACAAATTATCAAGTTGATTCAAAAGTGTCTTCTTATCCTGATGGCTTGAAGATGCTTATCGTTGCCCTGAAACAATCACCTATGTCTACTACCATGTTTAGTTCCTTCTCCGTACCAATGACATGGTTATCCTTGGAAGTTTCAACGGCATCTTACAATAATACAACTGATATGATAACTTTCAACTTGATCAACAATACAAGGATCAAGCTTTCCAAGAAGGTGTTTCTTGAATTCTTGCAGATTCCAAACAATCCTCCATTTTTGAAACCTGTTAACTCTCAAGTCATTCACATGTTCAATGAAATGGGTCATCAACCAGAGCTTGAGAAGATTAGTGACTTTCGAAAGTCTGGGTTGCCGTGCATACGGAATTTCTTATTTGGAATTTTTCTCAGATGTCTAAC